TTTCCGTACCCACTGTATATATATATATATATAGAGAGAGAGAGACAGACAGAGATAGATCAAAAGGTCTATAAAAAATAAGATGATTTATTGGTCACCACATTGAATATTTTATGGAAGCTTGTTTCCGCCACAGGATAATATATACTGTATATGTATTAATTTTTAAAAAAAGGTATAAAAAAAGTATATTAAAAAAGGTAACTGCGACTTTTTATCTTTCAATTGCAAGTTTATATCTCACCATTCCGACTTTTCTTCTCTGAAAAAAGTCAGAATTGTGAGATATAAACTCAGACTTAAATATAAAATCAGACTTAAATAAAATCGCAATTCTACTGTGAGATATGAAGATGCAATAGCGAGAAAAAAGTCAGAATTGACTTCACAATTATGTCAAAAAAGTCACAATTATGTGTTCAAAACTTGCCTTTGTAATATATAAACTCACAATTATCAGGAAAAAAAGTCCGAATTTTAAGATATAACCTCAAAAATCCAAGAAAAACAAAACAAGCTTCCATAGTATGACCTTTAAAAATGGCTATTAATAACAAATATATCAGAAATTAGCAATTGAGAACACATTCAGACTTCAGCATCATGAAATCACATTTACGTCACATTTACATTCAAATAGCAATTCACCAAAACATAACCCAAACTGTAATTATATGTTACTTGAATCATGTGGATTAATTTTCATTTACTGAATTGCAAAAGTAGAACTGTCACTTGCGTGTGGAACATGTATGAAACTCAGCGAGGTTTTTTTTTAAGTGAGTAGTTCATGATGAATAATGATTTACAGTTCACTTTCACAGTTTTTCTGCTGAGCATGCAATGCAAAAATAGACTCAGTGCTGAAACTCCACCTGCAGCTGCAGCTGCGCTTCTGCTACACAGCAGCACCACAAAACCATCACGGCTGCAGGTGTGAGGTTTGTGTAACAGGCCTAAAGCAGTATGACTCAAAGCCACAGAGCCTGAAAACAGCAGGCACGGTCTTGAAATCTCTCACCTGATGCAGGTTGATCAACACATCTGTCTCAGGGGCATGGCCTCCTGTCGCCATGGGGACAGGGAGGGGCGCAGCTGCGGGAACACCGGGGGGTCCGGGATCAGCCCTTCTCTTTCACGGCTGGATTTCCAGTCAGCCTGTGGGGTGGCATAACCTGAAAGAGTGAGACCATGTTAGAGCATAAGATATCACTGAGACCCCAAAACAAACATAGGAGCAAGAAAACATGGGAAAGAATGTTGCAGAAATGGTCGGTTTTCAGAATACAAAGGGAAGACATTCACAAACCTGTTTCCAGTTCTTATGTTACAACTCAGGGGCTCATCAATAACCACTGCACTCATCAAGAGACATTATATTGATCGTATTAAGTTGTTAATCGATGAAACAAGCATGTTGAGCATAATGAGAAAACTGTTACACGGTGTCTGTCAGCACCCGGTTGGTAAGTTCAAATCATTTCCATGAATCAGTTCAAAATGTCTGTTTCAAAGAATCAATTTAACAAAAATGTTCAAAGAGCTGCATTTTTAAATATCAAAATGTTTTAGTAGAAATATGTGAATGTAATTATTGCTGTTTATTACTATTCATTGTTAGATTAGAGCATAGAAATTATCAATTATCATCAAAACTTATCATTTAAATTAATAATTTATAATTTTTCAAATTATCATTTGGATTTGTTTCTTACAACCATACAGCTGTTTGCTTCACAAAACATTAATTGATGAACTGGAGTGGTGTGAATGACTTGTGGATTATTTTTTATCAGCTGTTTGGAATCTTATTCTGACGGCACCCATTCACTGCAGAGGATCCATTGCTGAGCAAGTGATGTAATGCTACATTTCTCCAAATCTGTTCAGATGAAGAAACAAACTCATCTACATCTTGGATGCCCTGAGGCTGAGTACATTTTCAGCAATCTTTCATTTTTGGATTAACTATTCCTAAAATGAAAGCTTATGCTCACACTAAAACAACAGTGAAGTAAAACGGTGTTCTCCTATCATCTTTTTATCAAATTAATTATTATTAAAAGCTCATGGATGCAACCAGTACCGCCCTTATACAACATTTGCGAGTGGATAGTGTGAGTTTGCTGTGTGGTTGTGCAATCGTGACAGCGTGCGCTCTGCATCTGTAAGTCCAGTGTCTGCTGTATAATAAACAGCTCTTGTGGGAAGCTGCGCTGATGACTCATGTCTTGAGTTTGCGTCACTGCAGGCAGCCGTAGCATACGTCTCATTTATGCCAAACCACACCCAGCTGGATATCGTTTCAGCATCATCCTTCTGGAATGCAGCTCAATGATGGACTGCTAAACGTCCATGTGCCAGCATCACTCATCAAAACACAGTTCTGCTGCCTTAGAAACATTATCGGTGACTCCACCAAAACCTAAGAACAGTGATGCCAATCGGACTGAAATGAAAGGAACTGGTTAATCTTTTCATCACTGAGCTGGTATCATCTCCCATGGGAACATTTTACTGCTCTTTAATAGCTCAGAAGCGTTCACGGAACTGTGGCAATGGGCGTATCATTCTCGACATGCACTGTACGCGGTAGACCAATCACAACAGACTGGGCCATCTGACCAATCAGAGCAGAGTAGGCTCACGGAAATGAGGGGTTTAGAGAAACTGAATCTTCAAAATGAATTGCAGAAAAGAACTGCTTCAAAAGAATAGTTTGAAAATCTTTGGAAAATTAGGTGATGCATATTTTGAGAAAACGAAAGCATTTTTTGGCCTAGCATGTATGTAAACCTATTGTAGGAGACTCCCAAAAGAATATTAGGAACCTTAAAAATGGCATAATAGGGGCTCTTTAAAGACAAAAGTAGCCTAAAATAAGGATCACTATATGACATTTGTCTTTTTTGATGTTATATTTAAAAGAATAAACAGCTGGGCATATACTTGACAACATTTTTGGTTTATGCTCAATGGAAAAAAATGAAATGCAGGACCACATTACCGGGCCATAATTTAAGCAGGACTGTGTGAGAACATATTCGCTGTAAACAAGGAGCAAGTGTACCTACTAAAAGTCGAATTCGGTGGGAGTGGGCGGGTGTGGAATAAAGCTTGCGGTAGTGGGATGGAAAAATCAGTTCACGCAGACCTCTGTGCTGCAGTGAAAAAGTGTCCAAGAGAACATACCTTAAGTATTTTATTATTTTAAATAAAAATATTTTAATAGCTTATTTCAAAGAATTCTAAGTCATTTTGTGGCCCTGTTGGACCCTCTAGTAGCTCCTGGTCCCCTGATTGAGAACTAGAGGAGACGTGAGATTTCTAAGGTTTTTTTTCAGGAGAAAAGTCTGAGAAGCAGGAGACCTCAACAAAAATCTTAATTTGCTCTCCACTTAAGATATGTGTGCTGTCTAGGAAAAAGAACTGAAATACTAAAAAGACCTTTGTGAAATTTGTCATTCCTATGAGCATACACGACTATCATAGTTCAGTCATGACAACTCAGACTGTAAAATCGTTATTAATGTAAATAGAATGTGCATACGTTTGGTCTTGGCAGACTAGATCTGCTGCTGCTGCTGCAAAGCAAGTAGGCTTGTTTCTGCTAAATGCTCGGATAATTGAATTAAAAGGAAACATGCTGCTGTTGCTGCTAGAGAAAGCAAGATCCCCGTAGCAGATCTAAGCAGGTGGTGCTGGGGAGGTGGTCGGCTAAGATGAAGACACGCATAGCGCACAGACATAGCATTCATTGAATAGGACCTGGTTATAGGTAAACAGTAATGAGTATGTGAATTTGATTGGCTGGGAACATTGAATTGAATGAACCAATTAGAACGCAAGTAGAGTTTCATGGCTGAACTTGAAATAAACTTGAAATGGAATGTTTACAGAAATGAAATTAAAATAAAATTAAGTTTAACTTGAGGTACTGTTAATGTCATGTTTATGGTTGGTTTTTGTTTTGTTTTCCCTCTGTTCCTGCCTCCTGTTTCTTTATGCCCTTATTTGGTCCTTCCAGGTCCTGTCCCCATTTAGTTCTAATTGTTCCAGGTGTTCCTTGTTATCAGTTATCCTCCTCACCTGTCTGCCCCTCGTTATCTGCCCTATTTGAGTTCTAGCCCATTCTGTTCTCCCTTGTCTGGAATTGTATATGTCTACCCTTGCTACATGTGTTTTCCTGGTTCCCTGGATATTATTAAAGTCTATTTGTTTGAATTCGACTCTGCGTCTCTTCGCTCCGTGCTCCTCACAGTAGCGAACCGTGACAGTTAGCTATAATAAACTTATTACAGTATCTCAATTATACCAAAATAACACTGGCATACACTGCAAAAATTATTTTCTTACTTTGTATTTTTTGTCAAGTTTTCCCGTACAAATATCTAAAAATTCTCAAATCAAAATACTATTCATTGAGAAGAAAAATGACATAAGTGTAGTATCCTGAAAAATGTATCAAAATTATGTGAGTTTGCTTAAAATTGTGAAAATACCTGCCAGTGGGGTCAGATAAATAATCTTGATCTCCTTTAAATTAACATGATTCTTCTGACCCCATTGACAGATATTTTTTGTTACATTTTTCAGAAAACAAGATGTATTATCTTATGACATTTTTCTACTGAAGTAAATGTATCTTAATTTAAGAATGTTTAAATATTTGTACTGGATAGTAAGACAAAGGTCATTTTTTGCAAGATCAAGATCCAGTTGATTGATGGAGATTGTTCAAATAAATGCTTAAAAACTTATTTCATGTTTATAGGATGCCTTATTTAATCTTGTTTGGTTACAACTCTAAATCAGGAGCATAGCAATGTTTTGGGGTCTTCACCTCTCTCTCTGCCATCAACATACAGTACACACAGCGGGAAATGGCCTATCTGACATATTTATAGAGCAGCAGCAGACTTTTTCATCAAATGATTCACTTGCTGTCTGCAAATAACCCAAGTGGAAAACTGCTATTAATATACGTGAGCACGCTCAGGGCATCATGGGAAAAATTAATAGTCCCACATGTCGCCAGAATAGATGATTCGCGCTCACCTGGGAAAGCAGCAGGTTCCCCTCATGCTTGTAAACATTTCTAGAAGTTCTGATCCAAAATAAGCCCGGGCATCTTTCCTGACCTGAGGGTCACTTCCATTTTTGTTGTCCCGCTGTTGCTCTGAGTCCGGCAAGCTCAAGTCACAAAAATGCTCAAGCTCTTGTGAAGATGAAATTAACAGACACATGCATCATTCTGAGAAGTGACCCTGTCTACTTCCTGTGTGTCTGACCAGCACTCATCACGCACTTCCTCTTCACCGAGCCATCAAAGGACCACAAATGATTTATGAGCTGTACTGGCAAACAGAGGAGCCTTTGTAAATGGAGATCAGCAAAATAAATCGTCACTTGATGCTCCCTGCAGCTAGGACTGTCTATTATATGATTGCATAATGATATTCTTTCTAAATAAGAAGGAGAAAAAGAAAATAACAATAATTACAATCAATAATGAATTACTGTAACATTCAGACTGCATTGTAAAAAAAAAAAATGTGTACTGGTAATTTGCTGCCAGGGCATTACAACCTAATTTTACAGACATTTTTATTAACCTTAAAACACAATGCAATGAAGCACAAAATTAAAAACTAATTAAAAAGGTTAAACACCTGTAAAAAAAAATCTTTCTTTTATATATATATATTTTTTTTATAGTGTGGGTAAAATAAAATAAAACAATATTTTTTTTTTAAAGTGGGAAAGTTGACTTAAAATATTTTATTTCTTCAATATTTATAATATTATATTCATGTCATTCTATGCTGTGCAATGTCTACAAAAACTTAAAACTATTTTATTCTTGTTTCAGTAAGTTTAGTGTGAATAAATGACATTTTTATAAAGTGAATTTATGTATATTAAGCTTACATATTATAAGCTATTATTATATATAGAATTATATATAAAGAAATTTATTTTATTTTATATTTTATTTCACACATTGAATTACACATGAACTTTTGAAGTACAAAGAGTATTTTCTTGGAAAATGTACTCCAATATTTTTTTATTTACTTTTTTTTTCTACAATATATATATATATATATACTCAAATTTCATTTTTATTTTTTACATTAATTAATTAATTACATCAAATTAAAGC